AACCGCCTTGTCGAAGTTGGCATCATCAGAACAGATGCTATGGAGACAGAGGAACTGGGAGAATGGAATAGAGTCTTTAAAGGAAGCAGAGTGTAAGGATGCATTGTTAAGGTAATTGAGAGTCAGTGGGTTTGTAGTGGATATTGGGGGCCAGCCTATCCCCAGAAATGGAAACAGAGATGTTGAGGAAGAGAAGGGAGGAGACAGAGATAGACCAGGTGAAGACGAGAATGGGGTGGAAATTGGAAGTGAACCAATTCTGGATAAGGGTAGTGGCACTGATGATGTCATTGATGTACCAGAGAAAGAGTTGTGGGGAGGAACGCATGTATCTGTTATAAAGTGGAGGTTGACCGTCTTTGATAACTAAAACCAAAATACCCGGAGAGGTGCACCTTGCCCTATAGTCTGTTAAAACAGACCCAATGTGCTATGAAGGAGTGGTTAAATAAAAATAAACCCCTGACACACTCTTTATAATCAACAAGTAACAATTTATTTATCTAACTCTTAACAGTGAACAAACTAACTAAACTATTAACAAACCGAATACCTCTTGTAACTACTAACTATTCCTGAATAAAACAGGATTATAATGGAATGTTGTTCCAATAAATACATGTCCCACTTATATAAAATAAGATTTTAAAAAATCTGAATTTAGTCTCTCAAAATTACAGCCAGTTATGTCTTCCAGAATGTTCGGAGTCTTTGATGAATTCTTCTGTCAGGAACGCCTTCTCAGTGAATCCTTCTGTCAGGAATGTTAACTACTTGCACTGTAGGTACTTCTAATTTAGATGGAGCGTACTGTAAGGCTTAGAGAATTCTGTGAGAGCCACTGATTCTCTCTTTTGGAGCTGAGAGCTGTTCTCTTGGCAGATGACAGTTGGCTTCCCCCTGATTTTCCAAATGCCCTCATCTTTTGCACCCTTGATGACATATCAAATTCTTACACTAGGATTGGTCCTATGTTGTCAAAACCATCAGATTTAAATTTAATTGGTTTTTGATATCTAAGGGCCTGGTTTAAATTAATTGGCTAAATTTAAAAACCTGTTGTCTTGGTAAAAATGCTGCTCTGCCTGCTAACAGCATAGCCTTTTAATATACATGTTTCAATTCAGGTGCTCTGTGCACCTGCAAACCCACGGAGTATCAAAAAGGATGTCTAAGCATAGAAAAAGCACACCATCTTTTAAAGGGATCATGCACTGCTTTCCCCATCGCACTGCTTTCCCCATCGCATTTTACAAACACCAACATTTTACAAATGCCCACATTTTACAAACATCAAATTCTAACTTCCTGCCTTCCAATCCACAAGTACTCTACCCAACTTTGCAACATATGACTGAAACAAGGAAAGTTCCATATACCCCAGAAGGAGACAGACATAACTGGGACTCGTGCTGGTACCCTTGGCCGCATCTCTGAACTGAAGGAATTGAGAGGAGTTAATTGTGTCTTTTGCATTCGCTGTTAATGTCTTTCTTCCAATCCCACCCCCTGGCTGTGTCTCCCCCCTAACAATTTGTATACAGGATGATGAGAGGCACAGATAGAGTAGATAGCCAGAGACTTTTTTTCCCAGGGTGGAAATGACTATTACGAGGAGGTGTAATTTTGAGGTGATTGGAGGAAGGTATAGAAGAGATGTCAGAGGTATGTTCCTTACACAGAGATTGGTGGGCATGTGGAATGCGCTGCCAGCAGTAGTAGTGGGGTCAGATACTTTAGAGACTTTTAAGCGACTCTTGGATAGGCACATGGAGGATAGTAAAATGCAGGGTAGATTGATCTTAGTAGGATAATAGGTCAGCACAACATTGTGGGCCGAAGGGCCTGTACTGTGCTGTACTGTTCTATGTTCTAAAAGAGAAGTTGTTCAGAATGAGGCTGAGCTTGGCCAGGCAGACGAGAGTGGTGGTGAATTGGGACAGTTCAGGCCCTTTTTCCAGGAAGAAGCGGAGAGCCCTGAGACCATCCTCATGTGTGAAGGGAATGCACATCCATGGTAAAGAGGAGGTGGTTGGAGCTTGCAAACTGGAAATTCTGAAACTGATGTAAAGCATCTGAAGAATTGCAGATATAAGTGGGAAAGGACCGGAAAAGGGGAGAAAAGAAGAAGAAAAGAAATCGAGTCAAGGTAGGAAAATGGTCTTTGTTTTTAAGTCCTAATTTCCTACTAGGGTCTTCCCCCTGCTGCAGTGGGGCATGTCTTAGACCATAAGATATAAGAGAATTAGGCCATTCAGTCCATTGAGGTTGCTCTCTGCCGTTTGGTCATGATTATGACGTTTCTCAACTCCATTCTCCTGCCTTCTTCCCATAATACTTGATCCCCTTACCAACCAAGAACCTAATATCTCTGCCTTGAATACATTCAATGGCTTGGCCTCCATGGCAATAGGTTCCACAGAGTCACCCCCCTTTTGACTGAAGAAATTCCAGATCTGTCCTAAAAGCAACTTCATTCAAAACTGTGCATACACAAACTGACTTCCAGAAGTAAAGTGCTTTCTAGTGCCTTCTCAGTCTTTGGATCTCTTCAAACAGGGAATCCATTCTCTCAGCATTCTGCTACCACAGCAGCTTTCCTATAACATTGGAGAATTGTTGGAGAAACTCAGCAGCTTGGGCAGCATCTGTGACGAGAAAACAGCATTTCTGGTCTAGAGAACTTTTAGAACTGATAACAGCAAGGAAAAGATAGTATTTATATTGATGATGGTGGGGGTTGGGTGGTAAAGGACTGAATTGATAGGTGGAGATGGAGCTTGGAGAGAACAGATGGCACAGACAAAAGCATTGTTGATAGTAAGCCAGAGCGTTAGAGGTTTAGATAATTGATAATGGAGACTATGAGTAATTGAAAGTGGGTTGGCTGTGCTGGAAGCAACCTGTACAATGACTAGACTCAAAGTGTGGGGGTAGGTAATGGATATGGAAGGACGTATTCATGATCTAAAATTTTTAAATTTGATATTGAGTCCTGAAGGCTGTATGGAACCTAGGTAGAAGGTGCTTTCAGCTTGCTGGAACACTGCAGCCAGCTTGAGACACAAGTACTGGCATGAGTCAAAAATCACATGACACCAGGTTATAGTCCAACGGGTTTATTCAAAATCACAAGGTTTTGGAGTGCCGCTCCTTTATCAGGTGCAGTGAGATAGGGCACAAAGACACAGAGATCAAAGGATCATACAACTGATGTGAGTGGAGTGAACAAACATAAAATGCCTAATGAAGAACTCTGTTAGAAAGGAGATGCAAGTTTGAATTGATTAAGATGCAAATTTCAGAATCTGTTTCAAGTTGCTGCCCAAAGATAATGAAAGGTTTCATCAGTGTCTGCCTAACTTTCCAAACCTCAATCAGGCAGAGATACAGAAGGTGACATCTCAGGTCAGACACTGAGTTGTAGGTGTGAGGCCTCGTTCAGAATCTGTCTCCAAGTTTTAACCTGAAATCAGTCTGGTTTTATTCCAAAAACAGGTATTTATAAAATGCTACATTGACTGACTGTAACTGACAAATGGATAAACATCTTGGATGAAATTATTCACCGCATAGATTTATATATGTGTGTGTGTGTGAGAGAGAGAGAGAGAGCGGTGATGCTGTCAAAACTGGACAGTAAGGAATGTTTTACAGATACAGAAGTGTAGTGGGGTCACCTGAAGCATGACATGAATGCATGTGAGAGATAGTGGGAACTGCAGATGCTGGAGAATCTGAGATAACAAGGTGTAGAGCTGGATGAACACAGCAGGCCAAGCAGCATCAGAGGAGCAGGAAAGCTGACGTTTTGGGCCTAGACCCTTCTTCAGAAATGGGGGAGGGGAAGGGGTTTCTGAAATAAATAGGGACATAAATATCCCCTCCCTAACTCCCCACCTACACTCACCTTTACTGGCTCCATCCCCACCTCTTTGACCTGTCTGTCTCCTCTCCACCTATCTTCTCCTCTATCCATCTTGTTTCTGCCTCCCCCTCTCTTCCTATTTATTTCAGAATCCCCTTCCCCTCCCCCATTTCTGAAGAAGGGTCTAGGCCCGAAACGTCAGCTTTCCTGCTCCTCTGATGCTGCTTGGCCTGCTGTGTTCATCCAGCTCTACACCTTGTTATCTCATGAATGCACGTGACTTGGCTAATGTCGTCTATCTCATACACTACAGGCACGGATGCCCCGAGGCATGGTATATTGGCAAGACCATGCAGATACTAAGAAAATGGATGAATGAACAAAGCGCAACAATCGCCATACAGGAGTGTTCCCTCCCAGTTGGGGAACACTTCCAACGGTCAAGGGCATTCAGCCTCTGGATACACAACAATGCAGAATCACTGAGCAGTGACTGATAACCAAGTTCTGTACCCGTGAAGATGGCCTCAACTGTGATCTCGGCTTCATGTCGTGCTACAGGTGACCCCACCACACTTCTGTATCTGCAAGATCTTCCTTACTACGCTGTTTATGTTTGTTCACTCCACTCACACCAGTCGTATTCTCCTTTGATCTCTCTGCGTATAAACTCTGTCTGTTTGCCCTCTCTCACTGCACCTGAACGAAGAAGCGGCGCATCGAAAGCTTTTGATTTCAAACCTGTTGGACTATGTCCTGGTGTCATGTAATTTTTGACTTTGTCCACCCCAGTCCTACACCGGCACCTCCACATCAAATGCTGGCATAAGAACACGGCGGTGCATTGAAAAGTGGCAGGCAACTGGGTGCTGAGGGTTATTTTTTAAGGACATGATGGGGAGATGAAGCTCGCTGGTTGAAAGATTGATGATGATCGATGTAATGGAGATAATCTGGCTGCAAACACGGACCCCCACTTCCTGGAACGCTGGAGGAGGACCACGTGTGAGGAAGGACCTACCTTCCGTGATGTCACTGAATAATCACGTGATGTTCCCACGGCGCTGTAATATCATAAGGGGCGGGTCCCGCACCCTGTGACTGACGTGCATAGTGACCTATCAGACGCCACGTTGTTGGGCGCGTTTGATGGGGGTGGGGCGCCGTGGCCAACGGACCAATCGGATGAAGGAGACGGCCCGGGGCGGTTTCGTGCTCGGGCGGGTCGTTGTTGAGTTGGAGATGGCTACCTATCCTTACGGCTCGGTGAGTGGGGGAGTGGGCTGCGGGGCTAGACCGTTTGAGCCTCGGGCTTTGGGCTTGTGCGCGTTTCGGAGAGGCGATACCATTCTCCGTGGAAGTTGGGTTGAAAGTTGAGGGCGTGGAGCAGAGGCGCTTGCCTCGGCCCTTAGTTGGGGTAGGGTAATCGAACTGTCCCACTGAGCGAGCCCTGGTCGGCCCTGTCCCTGCCCAGTTTGAAGGTGGTACTGGGTACCCGGGTGGCTGATGAAGACAGTCTTCTCCCTTCCAGAGAATGTCTGGAGGCTGGAATTTCCCTTTCTACTTCCTTCTCTAGGTAAGG